TCTTTCTTTCTTTCTTTCTTTCTTTCTTTCTTTCTTTCTTTCTTTCTACCAAATCCCGTAATCCAAATGAGTGATTGAGAAGTAATATCCCCTTTGTAGGTATAAGAAATGATTTTGCTTAAATAGACCATATAAGTTTGCAATTCAAAATAATATATTTCCGTTAATTAGACAGTTTATTAATGGGCAGTATCACTTGAACGCCTGAGAGAAAATCATGAAATTATTTTTCCTGGAATAAAATGCTATTTATGTTTTTTTGTTATTGTCATAATTACATCTGTTAATATTCAACTTATTTTTAAGGGTTGTTTTTCTATTCCGCCAAGGAATAAAGTTATTCCTTGAATTTTTTTTTCTGTTACCTCTCTGGACCAACTGATATGCATATTTCTTCCCTTCTTTTGCCTGTTTCCTTTTATATCAAAGTATCAAATTTTCTTCCCCTTGCTTCAGTCCTTCCTTAAAATTTCTGTAGAGCTTCATGTAACACATAGGCATATAGATGCCTAGGGATTAGATAACATTGACTACATTAAGAGTAATATAAATACTACCAATAATATCAGGAAGGCGTTTATTAACACGTCTCATAGTACATATTCAGTTGACTGAGTGATCCTTTTCAGTAAACATGAGAATTTTATTATCCAGTGTTCATTCTTCACTCTACCATTAGAGTTAAAAGTATTTTTTAAGTTTGTATAGTTCTTTATCCCCATCAGAAAGCCTCCAAATAAAAACTGCAATTCTATATTTTGTTCATAAAATTTGTTTCAACATAACCCACACACCCACAGCATTCACCCAGTCGAATTCTCCACAATACAAGCTCCCCAGAAGTTAAGCAAAACAACACAGAAGGGTGATTGCAACTTACTATACATGCAGCACTACACTTAAGTATTTTTCTGGTTTCTTAAAAGGATTGATGTATGTATTCTTCATAAGTAGATTTGGATTTTGTTGCTATTTAAAATTGCTTTTTGTAGTTTGAAGTGCGCATATTCTCTTTGTTCTGCTTTGATCGTTCTGCTTTACTTCATAGTTATTTGAATTCTTATCCATCATTTCTTGTATTACAGCACTATTCCATTACATTCATGTACCACAATATTTTTGGCTGTCTCTTAGTTGTTGGACACAAAGTTTATTTCCTTTTTTTTTCTGTTAACAAATAGTAATGCTGTGATATTTCCTTGTACTTTGATCTTTTCTTGTTGTTAGTAACTTCCTAGAGATAAAAACCCAGTACTTGATTTCTGACTCAAAGGCTATGAACAGTGTTTTAACTTTTCTTGCATAATTTCAAATTGTTATCCATAATAGTCACACCATTTCAGAGTCTCACCAGCAGCACCTGTACTCTCTTATCTCTATCAACATCAAAATTTTCTAATTTTTTTTGCCATCTTTGCCATTTTGATGGGTGTGAGATAATATCCTACAGTTATTTTACTTAACATTGTCTGATTGCTAATGATTTGAAGCACTTTTTTTAGATTATATGTGATAATTTGTATAAAATTGCAATTCTTAAATGTGCTTCAAGAATCAATATGTCAGGAAGTTCCTTTTGCATAGTAAGTAGTCTAGTGCATGCTTATTGTTGTGATTGAAATTAAGGTAAACTAAAACACAAAGTTCCAAGAACATTCAATTTATTGGTAAGGCTAGCAGTTACCAATAAAAGGGGTCTCTCAGTCAGACAAAAGACCATGAGGTGGGGCTTACTAGCTTTCATATAGTTTTGGGAAAAGAGAACAAAGAAGAGGATACATAGCAGATGGAAAATAATATGATTGGTTACCAAGTCTAAAGTGTCATAGATGATGGAAAACATATGATTGGATAGAAATCAGGAATGCAGGGCTAGCAACAACCCCTCCTTCCATCTTGTTGCTATGGGAAGCTCATTCGTAGTGTCCCTCTACATAGCTAGTTAGTGTCCACAGCGTTAATAGACCAGACAGCCAATGTTGCTGAGATAACAAACTTCCTAGCACTCACTTGCATCTTGCAAGACTTGTTAGCAAGATAATACATCTCCCTTTAGTGTACATGAGTAGTAAGATTTATAGAGATAATATATTTCTTTGAATTTGTGATTTGTAGGACAACTACACTTTTAAACTTAAAGAGGAAAACTGGACTTCTGAACTTAATTCAAAGACAAAAAAAAAAGTGAGTTAGGCAATTTTACAGCATGTTGTTGGTGATACAGAATAGGATCAATTACAAAATGGAATCAGAATCAATTTGATTTTCTCACTATCACTGCTCCCATAGCACCTTATCTTCAGCAGTGATTTCCTTCATCATACATTTTTTTAAACTTTAAGCCTTAAAGGTTTGCTAAAAGAAATCTTCACCTTCTGAATAAGGCATGTGTTAGTTTTTAATAACATAGGTTCAATAGGACTACATGCTTAGTGTACTTTCAACATCAGTTGAACACAAACATTTATTTTAAGGTAATCTACAGTATAAAATTGGATTAGCTGGCTTATAAAAGCATTGAAATGAAAAAAATCATCTTTCCTACAATTTTGCCTACTGTCTTGAGTGAAGAAAACACATAACTCCTTCTACTAACTTTCCCCAAAAAAGTAAAGAAACCCATTAGCACCACATATGATATACTTGTTTGGAAGCAATATTTATTCATTCTACCAGAGATGGTAACGTTGAATTTAAACATTTCTGAGTGTTAAAAAATGAAGAAATAAGCTTCTAATTCTGTGATCTGTTTAATGCATTAGGATAGTAAATGCTGGGCATCTAGAAGGCTCAGTGGATAGAGTATTGGTACTGGAGTCAGGAAGATCCCTGAGTTCATATCTGGCCTAGCTGTGTGATCTTGGGCAAGTCACTTAACCTCTGTTTGCCTTAATCCACTGAAGAAGGGAACAGCAAACCATTCAAATATCTTTTCCAAGAAAATCCCATGGACGATATGGTCCATGGAGTCACAAAGAGTTGGACACAACTGAATGACTGAATAACAACAGTAAATGGTACTCTGGATCTGAAGAGGTTACTTTACCTCTAAAAGTACCTACTTCTCTACACCAGACACTTCTCTGCCCTGTGTCAGAGGAAGAGCAAACTTGACATTGAAGAAGATCTTTCTCCACTGTCAGAGAAAAGGCACCCAAGTCCATGGTGCAGGCTACCTGAAAAAGGTGGAGGTGTAGGAGTGGGTTTTAAAAGAATAGAAGGAAATATACCATACCTATTCTTCCCCAAGTAGCAGTTATTTAATTCTGTTGGCCCCTACACCGTCTCGTATGTCATTTCCTCTCCAGAGTAGGCAAACTGATAGACCAGCACAACAGGTCAATATAGCCACACTCACTAGGCAAAAAGTAGCAAAATTAATCAGTAAGAATATATTAAACATATGCTATATGCCAAATGCTATGCTAGGTGCTGGGTATACAAATACAAAAAATGAAACACAATCCTTACAACGAATTTACATTCTGAGGTAGGGGACAAATACATATGTAAGTATATACAACGTAGATATGAATAAATAGGAAGTAGTCAAATATAAGGAATTTTAAGAACATGCAGTTAGAAGGACTCACAGGAAAGGCTTTATGTAGAAAATTGTGCTTTTGCTGTGCTTTAAAGGAAGCACAACTTTCTTTGACAAGGTTGGAGGTAGAGGTAAAGAAGAAGTACATTCTAGATATACAGTTCAGCCCATTGTAAAGGTACAGAAATAGAAGGTGGAATGTCATGTGTGAGGAACAGAGAAGGCCAGTTTGGTGGATCACGTAGTGTGATAGGAAGAATAATATCCAGTAAGGCTGGAAAGAAAGGTTGGGGCCAGATTGTAAAGGGCTTCAAAGCTAAACAGAAGAGTTTATATTTTATGCCAAAGACATTCTCTATTTCAATATCTCTTAAAAATATTTGCAACCCACAACATATTTTAAGGTAATATCCAACTCAGAAATGTTGTATCTGAAGGATCTCTTTTGTAGCTGCTAGCTAATTCTGTATGATATTTATTTATAATCTTTATTCTTTATATTTATAACCTTTATTCTTCATATATATATACATACTTTACTTTCCATTATCGTATGGTCAGAGGATAGAAATTGATACATTGATTTTACCTTTCAGATTCTTGCCAGCTCTCCTTACAGCAGTCCTGACCAATCATCTTGCCTGGGTCCCAACAGTCATGCCTAATGGACAACCACCTATAAAAATATTTTTAGAAAAACATTCCTCTCAGAGTGTGGATATGCTGGCAAAGACTCATCCCTATAACCCACTGTGGGCACAACTAGGTATGTCTTCAGAGAATCTTGACACAATGCCATAATTATATGTACATCTTTTTTGGTCATTTCACAGCAGAAACATTTGACTTAACATTTGTTATGTTCCTATAGTGTGCAAGGCACTGTGCTACATATTGGGCATGTAAAAACAAAAAAAAAATGGCGTAGTACCTGCTTGCAGAAAACTTAAAATCTAATAGAAGGGATATGACATGTACACAGTGACATGTATACATGACATGTACCCCTTCTTATAGAATGTGATGGGAACAAAGGAGAAATCACTTTCTGCTATGGGAGTCAGGGAAATGTTTCATTGAGAAGATAGCACTTAGACTGAGCCTTGGAGGAAGAAAAAGATTTCAGCAGGAAGATAGGAGGTACAAATTCATTACAAGCATGGCATTTGACATATACAAATGCATGGATATGGTAAATGGCACCAGAGAACAGTTAGTTCAGTTTGGCTTATTGTAGAATACCTGAAGTGGACTAGTGTGATTTGAGAGTAGAAAGGTGGTCATAAGTTTTAAAACTGGAAGGGACTGGATCATCTAGTCCTACTCCTTCATTTTACAGATGAGGAAACTGAAGCCTGAGTCAGTGAACCATTTGTCCTGAATTATACAGCTAGCAAGTAGCAGAGCATGATTTGACTCCGAGCCCTTTAGCTCCAAATCCATTGTTCTTTTTTTTTTTTTTTTAAGGCAGTTGGGGTTAAGTGACTTGCCCAAGGTCACACAGCTAGTAAGTGTCAGGTGTTTGGTCTGAGGTCGGATTTAAACTCGAGGTCCTTCTGACTTCAGGGCCGGTACTCTATCCATTGCGCCACCTAGCGGCCCCAAAATCCATTGTTCTTTCTACTATACTGTGTTCTAGATTAGGGGCAGATTATGGAGGGCAAGGTAAGAATTTTGCATTTTGTCCTATGAGAAATTGGACAAAGGTTTTTGAGCTAGATAAGACACATACATTATGAAGGATATTTTTGCAAATTGGAACGGGCGGGAGAAAGTGACAAGCACTTGAACTAAGGTGATGGTTGTGTACATGAAGATGAAGGAAATAAATGGAAGGGATAATGTTGATATGGAATCACAAAATGTGGTAAGTGATTTGTGGTTAGAAAGAGAGAAAAAAGTTGAAGATGACTTGAAAGTTTTAGTCCTGATAGACTGATAGAATGGTGGTGCCATCAATAGAAATAGAGGTGTTGGTGGAAAAAGTCAGGTTTGTGGCAGGGAGGTGATAAATTTGGCACATATTGATTTTAAGAAATCATTTGTGTCCAAGTGGAGATATTTGTGTGCAATTGAAAATTAGGGGACTAAAGCTCAGGAAAGAGATGAGGTGGTTTAAGGTAAGGGATCTCTGAAACATTAATACCCAAACAAAAATGCCATTCTAAGTATGCATCTTCCTTATTTCCTCCACCCTTCTCTGTCTGTCCCTTTTAAAGGGGAAACCCTTTAAGTTCCCGATTGCTACTGAGCCAGTTTACATTTGGTTCCATTGATTATTATCATTTGTATCTCCCTACAGTGCCTCTGACATAGTAGGCATATCTGTATATATATGTATGTGTGTGTATATGTATGTATATTTTTTTCTGTTCAATATAAATTCTTAAAATAACTTTCATAATCTACACTGAACCATCAGCATGCTTGTGACAAGAAACTTACATCATTTAGAATTAACCTTAGTTTGGTAGCTGCCTCCCTTGCCCATTTAGTAACTCACTTGAAAGCCTGGGCTGGCTAGAGTGGCCACATAAAAGGGTAAGAGTAGAGAGAGGGAAGGAGGTAAAACTTCACTGATAATTGCAGCTAATCATCAGTGGGTGGTATGACCTCGAAGGAATCTTGGTGCTCAAGGGAAGGCTTCATCAAGGTGCTCTGTTTAGTGAAGATAGCTTCAAGGCATCTTAGAGTCCTTCGTCCATTTAATTTTGTTTGTATGCCTTAATTTTAAAACCAAGAAATTTCATTAGTGAAAGAAAAAAGGTGTTTGTGTTAATCATTTTAGCAGAGTAATTTTTAAATATATAATAAGCTGAAAAATCATACTGGAAAAGCTACAGAAGAGAAGAGAGAATGCTAATTAAGACCATACACCAGTATATTTCATTTTATCCCAGTAAGGGTTTTTTTCTTTTTCAAACATGTTTCTTTATAATGTTTTATAAGCTCATAATCTGTCAATTTGCAGAATCTCTATATATTAGAATTAAATCCATGGCTTTGTTGTAGTCAACTCCCTCATTGTGTCTTTATGTCTTGTTATGTGTTTTCCATTGTTGTGGTCTGATATTATCTACAATACCTATGCAGCACAACTATGGAAAGCTGGTCGAGAGGCCCAGTTGCTCTGTTTTTACTTTGGTGGTATGATTACCTAGGTGGTATGGTTGCCTAGGTTCAGCAAGGAACCAAAACATAAGAGAGCCCAACCACCTGAACTCAGCCGCCTTCTTTCATTTCTACTTCTTTAATGAGCATGTCTTCCTATTTCTGCCCCCTGTGATCTTCAGAGAGACTATACTGGGAGGTTAAGCGAGGACCAGTAGCTTTCTGGTTATTGGGACCTGGACTCAGGAAAAATATGGGAACTGGAGATAGGAATTTTTGAGTCATCAGAAATCTTGAGAGATTTTTGGGCCAACCAGGTAAAGAGAATTAGCCTCATCCTTACTTTCTGTCACTTCAGAGTTGGAGCAGCAATGTGGCTGATTTGCCAGCGCTCTGTTACCCTGGTTCTTCTCCATGGAATTAAGACCAGTTTCCTAAATTTTGGCTTATACCATTTGTCTGCATAGAGAATCACTCATTTGGGGGCAGCTAGGTGGCTCAATGGATAAAGCACTGGCCCTGAAGTCAGGAGGACCTGAGTTCAAATGTGGCCTCAGACCAAACACTTGACACTTACTAGCTGTGTGACCCTGGGCAAGTCACTTAACCCCAATTGCCAAAAAAAAGGGAGAGAGAGAACCACTCATTTGCCATTTTTAAAAGCCTCTTATAAATGATCAGTCAAAGATTAGACTTAAATACCATAAAATTGGTAACTTAGGAAACTAACTTGGTTAACTTAGTGCTGACATTGCTATAAGCATGTTGTGAAAGTAGAGGAATGCTTATTAACTGATTCTTCCATTGCAGGAGACTTATATGGAGCAATTGGCTCTCCGGTAAGATTAGCAAGGACAGTAGTGGTTGGCAAAAGACAAGACATGGTCCAGAGGCTGCTTTATTTTCTTACCTATTTCATAAGATGCTCTGAACTTCAAGAGACCCATCTCTTAGAAAATGGAGAAGATGAAGCCATAGTCATGCCAGGAACAATTATTACCACAACCTTAGAAAAAGGGGAAGTCGAGGAATCTGAATATGTGCTTGTCACAATGCACAGGAACAAAAGCAGTTTGCTCTTTAGAGATTCAGAAGAAACAGAGGCTCCTCATTGTGACTGTAAACATTGCAAATGCCCATTTGTTGTACAAAATATAGAGAGTGTTTCACAACAAGAGAGAAATGTTCAAGGCAGTTCTCAGCAGCTACTGGAAGCCTCATCAGATGAGTGCAGGATAATTTCTCCTTCTGGCTGCCAAGAAAATGCTGTTGACATTAAGCAGTACAGAGATAAATTGCGAACTTGCCTTGACACCAAGTTAGAGACCGTAGTTCGCACAGGATCTGCTCCAACAGACAAATGTGTGTTGGCAGACTCGGGACTGGAACCAGCAGTAGAAACCTGGAGAAGTGAGGAATCACTGGACTCAGGCAGCCAGTCAGGCAATGGGATGAGATCAACAGGCATAGCAGTGGAAAAGAAACCCCCAGATAAGCTCATGCCTACTACATTTTCTTGTGATGCTTCACAGACAAAGGTCACTTTTCTAATTGGAGATTCCATGTCACCTGATTCAGACACAGAAATCAGAAGTCAGGCTGTTGTGGATCAAATCATAAGGCATCACATCAAACCAACAAAGGAGAAAAGAATGACTGCTGCTGAGCATCATGAAACTAAGCTTTTGGTTAAGGACCAAATCAGGGATCCTGGAGTCCATGAAATGTTTCCCAGAGTTGCCAGAGCGCTTCCAAATTGGAATCATTCAAATCTGGAGAACATGAGTTTATTTGATGAATATTTTAATGATGACTCAATCGAAACCAGGACTATTGATGATGTTCCAATTAAAACAAGCACAGACATTTTAGAACACCAGAGCAATATATTAGATTTTTCTAAAAGACTGTGTACCAAGAATAACAAACAGCCCAGTGAATTTTGTACATTTATGGAATCTGTACACCAGGATTCATGTAAAACCTGCTTTCCTAAGCAGGACCAAAGAGATACAAAGTCTATTCATGTCCCCCATGGGGACAAAGAGAACTCAGAGAGAAAAATTGCTGTAGGAAATGAATGGGACATTCCAAGAAATGAAAGTTCAGATAGTGCCCTTGGTGACAGTGAGAGTGAAGATGCTGGTCATGATATGACCAGACAGAGCAGTAACTATTTTGGAGGAGACCGAGAAGACTGGGCAGAAGAAGATGAAATACCCTTTCCTGGGTAAGTGGGGAACTTTTAATGTCAAAATCCTGCAAAATTCTGCAGATATACACACATGCAGATGTTATGGGGTAGAATCAGTGAGTAGAACAAGAATATGACTAGAGAGTAAAGTGGATGATAACCTAACATTTAACATTTTTATAGTGCTTTTACAGTTTACAAAGCACTTTTCTCATAACAGTCTTGTGATATAGTTGGGTATTTTTAAGCCCCATTTTAAAGATAGAGTAACTGAGGCTCCTTCACATAGGTAAAGTGACATAGCCAGGACTTAACTTCAGGTCTTCTGACTCTACATCTTATGCTTTTCCCACTGCCTCCCAACCTGCCAGGAAACAGATTGTTGGTTCATCTCTAAAAATAAGTGTGACTGAGGCTAGCAGCTAGAAAGACTGCTTTGGGTCAGAGGCAGGAGGAAAACAAAGATTGAGAGGAGAAACTGTTGGGATTCTGACTTTTTAGCTTCCTGATATTGGCCATTCCGTTCAGTTGCACATGTTAGAAATATGTGGCAACTGCCGGTAAAGTGCAATTTGTATGGGGCAATGTGTGTGATGTAATGGACAGTGCACTGGATTTAAGACAGAAAATCTGGGTTTGAGTCTTGGCTGTACCGTTTGTTGTTCATGTGACCTCCTTGAATCTCTCATCTATAACAAACGGATTAACACTTCTGCTGTAGTTGTTGTAAAGATGAAATGAGGATGATGAATGTGTAAGGCATTTTGTAGACCTTAAAGTGCTATTCTTATGTAAGCTGCTATTATTATATTCATAGAAACTCATACTAATGTTTACCAAAAAGCAGCCTGAACTCTTCTTCCTTGTGGCCACAGTGAGTTCATAAATTATACTTAAAATAGTGATTATTTTGCTTTAATGAATATACACATACATATATACACACATACATATACACATTATATATAATGGAAAATGATGGTGTTAGAAAACAAGGACTAGTAAAACTTTAGTTTTTGTTTAACTGTAAAATGTGTGTAGTATTCCTAATTAGACATGCCTGTTTTGGACCTTTCTTTCAGGTCAAAATTAATTGAAGTGAGCTCTGTCAAGCCCAGCATTGCCAATTTTGGAAGGTCCTTGCTAGGTAGCTACTGTTCATCTTATGTACCTGATTTTGTTTTGCAAGGAATAGGAAATGATGACAAACTTCGGCAGTGTTTAGTATCAGACCTGTCCCATGCTGTGCAGGTAACTTATTATACTCAAAATACGACTATCCAAATAAAGCAAATGTTATTTTTCAGTTACATTATCCAGCAGAAGCAAAAATTATGTGAAAGGTCTAACCTCAGGTGAGACTTATGTAGAATACCTGAAACTATGAACCTGCTTTTTAGATCTGCAGTAAAAATTGAGTGGAGAACAAATGGCTGACCATGTTAATGAGGGAATGAGGGTGAATGGGCTAGATCTTGCCAGTTGCCCATCAGAAAACTGGACTTTTGATTACAGAATAAAGAAGATTACTAATTGTTTTCTACTGTACTTTAAGGAAGGATTTCTACAGTGTTCTAATCAAATTAACACTGTGAGAAAGGGAGTACAAGTAATACCTATTTGCAAATGAGGAAATTGAGGCTTCTTAGGGTTTAATGACTTTAAAACATGGTCAAACAGCTTGTATGTATCCAAGACAGTGCAAAAGCCCAATTCTTTTGCCTCCAAGTCCGGAACTATTTACAGCACACAATGATACCTTTTTAAAAAATAAAAATATACAAATCTACACCAGCATGTTTAAATGTAAATGCTGTTAATCCTTGAAGTAATTTAATCAGTTGTATCAAAAAGTTACTGAGTTCCTTCTACTGTGCTAGGCACTTTGTAGTAAAGGAAAATTCCTAAGACCAATGGTATCAAACTCAAATAGAAACAGATCCCTGTGGGTTGCATATTGACTTAGAAAACTGCAAATTACAGTTTTCCATATCGTATTGTATTTTTGTTTATTTTGTTAAACATTCCTTAGTTACATTATAATCTGGATCCTTTTCCAGCCAGGGCTGTGAGTTTGACACCTGTGAGACTATAATTCAGCCCCAGTGCTGTTTTAATAGAAATTTTAGAATCTCATCAGAAAAACTTACTGGATCAAAATTTTCCTGAGTGGGAAAAGAAATCTCAATTGCTCTATGAATAATAGAGTCTTAGTCTTTAGCACTTGCTTTTGGCAACAATGAAAGTGAACCTCAGTTTGATATAGAGCTCCCTCTCCTGGTTCTTCAATACATTTAACGTTTAGGTACTGTTTTCAAAGTAGTACATCCATCACTATTAATGTACTATCTTCAGTAAACTAAATCAGACCCATTTTTATTTGGATAAATATATAGTCATGTGCTTATAGTATATTCAAAGGTTACTAGAAAGTATTTTGAAAAAGATTGGGGGCAACATTGGGTATGAGGAAAGAAATGATTATTGTCATTTTAGTTTTGTTGGAATTTTTACTATATATAGGGATTTCTACATGGCTCAAAGTTTTGAATGAAAACTTGGGAATTTAGGCTTTCAGTATAAATATGTTTTTCATAATTAATTTCCTCTCTTTGTCCTAAGTCATTATTAATTCAGGATCGTTTTGCTTCTGCTTACCAGAAATGTCTTTATGGAATTTTACTTCAAGTTTTTGGGATTTTTTTTAAGTGTGAGCCACATATCTTCTGAATATTAAGCTTTGAGGATCATTCCCAAAACAGTTAATGACCATTGGAACAAAATAATGTTTCACAAAACCAGCCCACACATTAACTTTAATATTGATATTGCTTGCTTTGGGGTAGTTAACCTCCTAGGAGGTTAAATGAATTAATTTATCAAGGTTCCCAGCTTTTTTCCTGAAGGTATTCTGTCTGGTGACAATCTCTTATTTCACTGGAATATTTTAGTAACATTTATCCTTCTGTTTCCATTAAAAATGCAGTAATTCTGGCTTAATCCTGGAGAAGTTTGCATCAGGATTTATTTTCACTCATGGTTTTTCTCTCACACATTGACAGGGGTATTTTGCCCCCTATTAAACTGAAATAAATAAAAATATCCTACATTAAAAACTCAGTTTTTAAAAGAAGTCCTGAGTGATCACATAATAAAAATTTGACATTGTTTTAAAAGTGTCCAGGATTTCCACCACAATGGGAAATATCTTTGTCTTGAATAAGTACTGATTCTGAAAATGTGCCAGAACTTGCTATCAGTAGCCCTCCTGAAGAGAGCTCTAGAGAAGATAGGGGAGATACGCTTCCTCTTGGTCTTAAGCACAGTGCCCTTCCAGCGGAGCAGTTAGTTTGGAGTATTCAGACCAAAGCATTTTGGTTGCCTTTGTTAGTCATCTTTCATTTTGTAGTATTTTCATGATGTCAGATATACTTTCATGTAGTGGCATGAGAGAGAGCCAATATTATTCTCTGTTTAACAGTGAAAGTTAAATTTGTAAAATGTCCTATGTACTTTTGATTAAAGGATGGAACTATTGAAAGATTACATGAAGACTTTTTATAATAGACTTGCCAGAAAATTTGGCATTTTGAGTTACTTACAAGAGACCATTGGTTCCAAAACTTTTTTTTGTATAATGGTCCTTTAGTAGTAGCTGAATGAATACAGATGATTTCTTTTTCTCTGGAGTTTCTCTTCCACTCATTTCACTGTAATTGTCCATGGGGTATCTTATCTTTTTATGAATTTTTGTTTGTTTCTAGCATCCAGTGTTGGATGAACCCATAGCAGAAGCTGTTTGTATTATTGCAGACATGGATAAGTGGACTGTACAAGTAGCCAGTAGCCAGAGACGAATAACAGATAATAAGCTGGGAAAGGAAGTTTTAGTTTCTAGTCTTGTCTCCAATTTGCTTCATTCCACTCTACAGCTTTACAAGCATAATTTATCTCCAAATTTTGTAAGTATGAAGTTCTACTTAGCCTTAATAATTACATTTTTGAGCTTCCCAGAGATAAGAGTTTGGAAACCTTTTTTCATGCTTTGTTTACTCTTTCTCTTTGGCCATACCATAGTGTGTCATGCACCTGGAAGATCGGCTGCAAGAGCTCTATTTCAAAAGCAAAATGCTCTCTGAATATCTGAAGGGACAGATGCGAGTCCATGTCAAAGAGCTGGGCCTGGTGCTAGGGTATGTTCACAGAGTTCTACACTAGCTTATATAGGTTTGCTTTCTGCCTTCACTTCCTCATCTCTTTTCTTTGGGGTGAGATAAGAACTTTAATGGGATAGGGGTGTGAGGTGGGGACAGAGGGGGGATAATTGGAGAATGATCAGGACCTGTTATTTCTTTAGTGTAGGGAACTCCTAGGGAGGACACTGGCTTTGCCAACACTGATCTGAAAATGTACTACAACTTGGAGGTGCTGAATGTCAAATGACCTGTTACACAGTTAGTATGTGTCAGAGGCCTGACTTGAACTGGTTTTCTTGGCTCTGAAACTTCCTCTCTATCCATTCTGCCATACTGACTTTCAAGAGAAGTGCTTAGATAGTGATAAGAATAGGGATAGGCACTGGACCTGTGCTTTCATTGATATAGGGAACCCCCAGATGCGGAAATCCCTAACCTCAGTACAGATCAGCACCCTACATGTAATGTATGCTCTTAAGAGAGTTGCCTCTCAGTGAGAGATTGAGTGACTTAACTAGTGTCAAACAGCCATTATGTGTTAAGAGGAAGGACACGAATCCAGGCTTTCTTGCTTCCAAGACCAGCTCTCTATCTCCTCTGCTGTACTACCTCTCCATATGTTTAGTTCAATATGTGGTTGAATTGAGCTGAATCCTTGTTTATCAGTCTTTCTGTACCTTATTGCTCAGGTCCCTGCCACTCTCTCTATTCCGTGGAGTTGGCTTTCACTATACTTGAAGGTTATGCTTTGGTATTAGTAAACCTTATTGTCTGCAGTGTAAAGTCATATCCCTAATGGCCTCAGCTGCTCTGAAAGTTGTTGGCCCTGACCCTCATGTCTTCATTCTAGGTTGAAAACATGGTTAGAGTATGGTGAGTTATTAAATAAAATCTTAGCTTAAAGAATAACAATTACTTTCTGAGGCCTCAAAAGAGGCTATTTTCTGTCACAGACACATGCTTGTATCCATTCCCTTCCTGAGTTGTTCTGAAATACATGTGTTAGGTAATAAGAAGGCTTCTAGAAAATTCTCACTTGTATAACTCAGAACAAAAAAGGCCCCCTGGGTCTTGCATCCAGCTTCTTGGACTTCAGAATGAATAAACTACAAATCAGTGATAGTTATCACCAAATTTGTTTTATCCTTCTAATTCTGTGGTCCCTCTGATTTAATTTCCCTCCTTGTTAATATACTGTCATGTCTTGAGATCCTGATATCCCTTGCAATGTGCTGTTTCTTATCCTACATACTTCAGGTCTCAGTTCAAAAGTATTGTGAGTTCTTTAGATAACTTCTGAGGCAGTATATTGAGCACAATTTCTTCACCACGTGCATAGATCTCCTACATACAATAGGCATTATACAGAGTAACACACAACAATATGCTTGATTTTAAAGGGAATCTATGATATCTTTTCTTCGTTTTAGGATTGAATCCAGTGACCTCCCTCTTCTGGCAGCTGTAGCTAGTACTCATTCTCCATATGTTGCCCAGATTCTCCTTTGAAATGCCTGCAAAATAAGACATTAACTTGGATAAAGTTAAGCATAAGCAAAGGAGGTAGGCACAAAAGGTATATATTTGTGCCAACTTCTTCCTAAGGCATTGGAACTGACTGATCCTTTGGTGGAGCTGACTGGGACTCCTGGATTACACATTCTACAAACATCTTACGACTTTTTTGACTTAGTTTTTTTGTTTTAAAAATTGAACATGAAACAGGATAAATAATAGTGAAAAGAGGGAGTCTGGAACAAACTCATGGCATTTTCTATAAAGGTGATCGCAGCGTACAGATAAAAAGTACAAATATTCAGATGATCATCGTAATGTTCCCATAACTTAAACAGATTGAAATATGAGATTGAAGCAGCTGCCTTGTGACTCATTGTTATTATTCAGTAGCACAGATGTCAAAGTTCATTTTTAAATCTAAACTCTTAAGGTACACCAATTTGGAGCATCTTGTAAATTTTCTTTAAGAGAATAGCTAACTTGGAGCTATTTCTCATAATGCTTGTTTATGACATAGAACTGAGAAAAACATGTGAGCCTGTGTATATCATATGCACAAATGTACATATAAATATCTCTTGGTTTCCTAAAAGGGCTAAGGAAGGAAAACAGATAAGATTGGTAAACATGACCTTTATTTCTTGTGTTTTAACTAATATTAATTGTCAATAAAGTTGACATCTTGCTTTACAGTGATACTTTTGTCTCACACTTTAAAATAGAGAGATGAAGCCAATATTTATCTTTAAGACTGAAGAGTATGGGTTCCCAAAATAGCAAGAGTATATAACTTGATACCTTTTTATTTTGTTGGTAAGTACAGGCTCTTTCTGCTTCCCTATATCCACAGCTAGTGAGAAAATGGTATGAAAAGAGATCAAATGCACCAAAGCATTGGCAAAAGTAAAGCTGTAATCTTTTAAAATGCTCAGGTAAAAAAGGTTTTCTCTTTTCATATGAACCCAGCAAATACTTTAATTTCTTTTGTGCTATAGTGGTACTCATCCACAGCTCTTAAAGTCATTCTGGGTTTCCCAAGATTTCAGTTATTCATCTGTCATATCTCTGTATATACTGTAGATGTGTTATGTATAAGAAAAGCTAATATGGAACCAAACTCTTGTATGTAATGTAAATAGAGTAGGTGGGTGGATAAAATTTCCAACATGTTCTACTACCTCAGTTTAATTGAATACTACATTGTAGTCTTTTCTTTACTTGTCTAACAAAGTATCATCAAAGTTGTGGATGAGGTTGGTTTGTGTTTTTCTCTACAACATTCACTATAGTTAACTGCTTATCTAAACAATCGTGAGCCATCCTAGCTTATCGAATTACTAAATACATCAGTTGTCTAATAATCAGTCCATTCATGCTTTTCATATCCATCTTGCTCCCTAATTTGCAAAATGTGGTGGTGTGATTGGCAAAGTGCTTTTACCTTGTTTATTTAGCATATTTTGCCTTGGATCTTTTATGTATGATAGAGATATTCAATTAAACTAAGAAAATAACCTGTTTTGATGGCATTAGAGTGCATAATTGATTGCTGGGCTAGGTGCTTACCTAGCTAGTGTGACTGGAAACTCTCTCCTCACCAATTTGAGAACCCTTGGATGTCATAGTTGCTAAAATGGCATTGGAGCAAAAATTCTTTTCCTTTTGGCTTCTTTTTCTTATTACATCTGTTAACTGAATTCTGTTCTCCACTGCATGTTGGAAAACTGACTGGACTCAAACTGGTTTGCTGGAATTCAGAATATGGAAAAGAAATGCAATTGTGGACTTGGTACATATTTTCCCCTTTTTGGTGACAGTTTTTATTGTGGCACTAAAAGATACACCAGATAGATAGTGTTTTGTTTCTGAATTCTTAATAGAAATGAACTAATCCACATATGTTGAACCTCAGGAATTTGAGTGCTTGGGAAATTTGATGTTGAAGTAAGAAATGGAAGGCCCACATTCTTTCTACTATTTCTTGAAAAGGGAAGTTTTGCTGGAGAAAAAGACTTCCAGTCCTTCAAAGAAATTTTTGGTCCCCTTAGATATCTAAATACAGTAAATGAACTTTCTGTAACTGCTGTTACCCAGTCCTAATTCTTCTTTCCTTACTGAAGGCTGAAGAACTAAGCTTTCTGCTCATTGGACGATGTCAGATACTTCCTTTTCTGCTTTCAATGTGACCACTTTGATGAATGTGGGAAAGATTTTTAGCCCGCCAGAAATTTCATGATACATATGAAACATGGTACATACAGAAACCTGTTTGCTGTAACAAATGAAAAAGGGATCTTTAACATATAGTATTATTGACTTAAATTTTTTTCTTTTTGTATATAAATTAATCTTTTTTTGATTTTAAATATTCTCCTCCTTTACGAAAATGTCTTAAATTTAAGGATGAAAATGTTAAGTGCACTAAACATGTACTCAAACAGATTTATTTTTGTTCCAATCAACAAACACTGGGATGCTCAACACAAAAAGTGAATAAAACCTGGATTTTACACATTGCATACTTTTCTCTGTTCTGATGAGTGTTTTATGACAATTTTCTGCTTTATCTAAATTATTTAGATAGTGGTTTGTGTAAAATACTGGGTCAGATGTACATACTGGTTGTTTCTTGTTTTGTATATATTTCTCAACTGTGCACTTGTATTATAATAACCATTCCCAATTTTAGGGGAAATTTGTGCAATAAATACGTATGTCAATTCATTCACTGATTTTGTCTCTTTTATGTATATGCTATGAGGTGACATGCAATGATTTTAAAATCTCATTATCTCTTGGTATTTTATGTACTATTTTGGATGCCATGATTTAGAAAAGACATATTGTCTAAGCTAACTTTTGAAGCCAGGTCTTAAAACAAAACAAAACTTTTATGATGAAAGTCATGATAACAACAACAAAAAAAAACCATCCCCTCTAGCCATACCTCAATATTCATGGAACTTCAAGCTCTGTGGAAATGTGCCCATTTCATGGACTCATCAAGTATAAACTGATGTACTATATAGGTCACAGATACTTCATTGACTCATACATTTGACAATGACTATGGAAAAATTCTGGGCCAAAGGACAAACGGGGGAATTATGGAGCAAAGTATTTTCCTTACTTTAAAAAAAGATCACATTTCATAGGTATTTTAAATACATACATAATTTCCTTATTAACATTTTAGAAAGGAAAATATTGCTAGTTTTGAAAATTTTCATGGAACCCATCACCAGGAACATAGTTTAGGAAAAAGTGAATTAAAGGAACCCCTGATTGCAGGACTACAGCTTAAAATATAGTAATTATAGGCACTTAGCCAAGGACCTTGTACTAAGTACAAATCAAGTCAAAAGGACTTTAAAGTAAAAAGGGGAAGGAGGAGGTAGAAATCTGCCTACTTATATCTGCCAAACTAAATAAGGTAGTTCATACAAATAGAGAAAGGAAAAAATGTCATGGACATTCAGTAATTCACAAGAAAAAATCCAAGAAAGAAGCCAGGAATAAAACTTATAGCCTCAAATATCTATATGCAGATGCACCAAGCATTGATAATGAGTAAGATGAAGTGGAAATTCTAATATAAGAAGAAAAATTTGAGAAATGGTAGAATGGAATAGTAGACTGAGTAAATTAGAAGCAATCTCAGGTAGAAAGCACCAGCCGTTATGGGGACACTTGTAAAGGTAGCATTTGGGCTAAGAAAAGGAAAACCAGGAGGCAGAAACAAGGATGAAGATTATTCCAGGTATAGGGGACAGCCAATAAAAAGAGCTGGGAGATGCAGTGTCATGCATGACGAAAAGCAAGGAGGTGTCACCAAATCATAGAGTACATGGAATGGAGTAAAATATAAGCCTAGCAAGGTAGGAAGGGGTAGGTTGTGAATGGTTTTTAAAGTCAAACAGAGGATTTTATACTTGATCCTAGAGATAATAGGGAGCCATTGGAGTTGATCTGAAGGGACAGGCTCCCGCTCCCCCACCCTCATCCCAGGATGGGGCGGGAACATTATCAAACCTGTGCTTCAGGAAGATCACTGACAGATGAGTGACAGATGGACTGGAGTGGGTAAAGACTTGGAAGAAGGAACACCAACTAGCAGATTGCTGCAGTACTCTAAGGGTTAGGTGAGGAGGTCCTGCACCAGGAGGATGGCTGTGTCAGAGAAGAGAAGGGGACACTGTTATCCAAGAGATGTTGTGAAGGTAGAAATGACAGGATTTGGCAACAGATTAGATAGGTGGAGTAAGTGAGAGTGAAGAGTCAAGGATAACAATAGGTTGTGAGCTTGAGAGACTGGGGGAATGGTAGGGCCCTTGACAGTAATAGGGAGACTGGGAAGAGGGGAGAGCTTGAAAGAAAAGATGCTGAACAGAGAAAAGTTTGTAATTCAGGAGCCCAAACTCTATGCCCCACCTTTTCAAGCTCCACCCCTCCCCAAAACAGAGTCTGGTTGGGGAAGGAAAAAAAAAACTTTAATTGACTTTAGTGCCAGAATAGCCACAGGCTATCAGACATGGTAGAAAGTCCTGGGAAGGAATGCATTCAGAAACAGCAACAGTCACTGAAGACTTGTACCTCTTGTGACCTCATCACCAACACTATTTTCTGTTTACCTAAATGCAATAGAACTTCATGGATGCACCCTCGCAGCAAACATTGGCATTTAATAAATTATGTCATTGTAAGGAGGACAGATAGGATGTGAGAATAATGAAGGCGATGTGTGGAACAGAGTACTGAACCAATGACACACTTATCCTTTCCAAACTAAACATTTGCATTCAACAAAAATAAGAGGCCCCAAGGCAAAATGACTACCAGAAGACTTAATGTTAACATATTAGAGTGCTTCTCCCATCATGAACAGTTTGTTGCTAACTTGGAGGAAAAACTGAGCCAACATATAGTTGGCAACAGTGGAGCAGAAAAGGAGTGGGCAGCTTTCAGAGATTTGGTGTACGGCACTGCGTTTACTCATCTGGGCCAGAATCCTCACAAACATCAGGATTGATTTGACAAAAATGATAGGGAAATTCAAAAGCTGCTAAATGAAAATCGAGAACTTCTCAGGGTTTACCAGCAGGATAGTTCATCTGTTTCTAAGAAGCCATCATTTAACTCCATCTTTTAAAAGTGAAGTGCAAGCAAAGGTTAGAGAGATGCAGAATTCTTGGCTCGGTAAGAAGGCAAAGGAAAGTTAGTTTTATACTAATAGTAACAATCAAAAGTGCTTTTATGACTCCCTGAAGGCTACTTATGAGCCAAAGACTTAGGGTGCATCTCAACTATTCAGTGCTGATGGAGCCACATTGATTAGTGATAAGCACATGTTCCTGGAGAGATGGGCTGAACAGTTCCATAGTGTTCTCAACAGACCATCATTGACCAATACTGAAGCCATTAAACGTTTACCTTAGGTTGAAGTCAATCCTTCTCTAGCTGAATTTTCAATGAAGAAGAGTATTTGAAAGCCATTAGACTTCTCTCATGTGGCAAGGAGTCTGATGCTGATTCTATTCCAGCTGAGACTTCCAAGGCAGGGAATCCACTGCTCATACAAAAACTGGTGGAAATCTTCCAGGTTATATGACAAGAGGAGATTGTCCCCCAAGAGTTCAAGGATCCTTCCATTGTCTATCTCTCCAAAGGAAAAGGAAATAGGTTATCTTGTGACAATGACAAAGGGGTCTCTTTCTTAGCCATTACTGGCAAGATTCTTGCCAGAGTCTTCCTTGGCATGCTGATCCTTCACCTGAAAGATGGTCATCTACCTGAGAGCCAGTATGGCTTCAGAAAAGGCCAAGGAACTGTCAGTATGGCATTTGCTGCCTGACAACTCTAGGAAAAATGCCAGGAACAAAACAGAGGTCTATACACCATATTCATCAATCTGACCAAGGTCTTTAATAGTCAGTTATAAGGGCTTATGGAAGATCATGGCAAAATTTGGCTGCCCAGAGAAATTCATCAATATTGTATGCCATTTCCACAACATCTTTGCACAGGTTCTGGATAATGGACGGTGCTCTTGCATTTTCTCAGTCACCAATCAAGTGACACATGGCTATATACCTACTCCCATGCTTTTTCTTTTTTAGCATGATATTTTCAACAATGTCAGATGCCTTCAATGAGGACAGAAATGTCATCAAGGCCAGCTACCCCACTGACAGTCAATTATTTAACTTGAAAAGGCTACATGCCAAGACTAAAGTGTACACTCAGTGCAGCCTCTGAGGCCGAGATAACAACAGAATATGACTGTGCTCTTGCTAATTTTGGCCGAACAATTAACACCAAGAAAACATAGGTTCTCCACCAGCCAGAAACACACGATCTGTACTTGGAACCATTGGTTACAGCCAATGGACAAGTTTTGAATACTATGGATAAGTTCCCTCACCTTGGCAGTATACTTTCTAGGGATATCCACATAGATAATGAAGTTGATACACTCATTGCCAAAGCTATCTTAGTCTTTGGGAAGCCCCAAAAGAAAAGGGGAGAGAAGAGGTATTAGACTGCTTACCAAACTGAAGGTCTACAGAGCCATTGTAGTGACCCCATTGCTGTATGCCTCTGAAACCTTGGACAGTATACTAGCACCATACCAGGAAACTGAATTGCTTCATTTCAATTGTCTTAAGAAGATTCTGAAGATCATCTGGAAAGATAAGGTATAGGACACTGAGGTCCTTTTTCAAGTTGAACTGCCAAGCATTTAAACTCTACTGCAGAGAGCACAACTTTGTTCTCTGAATGCCAAATGTACATTTTGCCTAAAAGACTATTTTATGAGAACTCACACAAGGCAAGCACTCACAAGGAGGTAAGAAGTGATACAGGGACACTCTCAAGGTCTCTCTGATTGTGAGCCATGGGAGGCACTGCCCAGCATGGCATGCCCACATCAGAGAAGGCATTGTGCTCTATGAGCAAAGCAGAATTGCAGTAGCTCAAAAGAAATCTGAGATGTGCAAATTTAGAGACATCTCCATCCCAAATGTTCATATGAACTATTTATGCCCAACCTGTGGTAGAGCCTTCTGAGGTCATATTGGTCCAATCAGCCGTAGTTGGACATGATGTTCCTTGACCCCATCATAGTGATGTCATTTTGGTCCTCTTCCAGTACAAAAGACAACAACCAACCAACAAAGCTATCTGCAGAACCTGATTAACCCCAGCTTCCTTTTCTCTAAAAGGCATAAAAAGATCCAACCACATGGAGTCTGGGCTGGTCAGATTTGGTGGATTTCTAAAGACCTTGTGAATCATCATGTCCTTCACTATCTGATGACCATATCAATTTCCACATGGAAATGAGCTGGGGAAGACGGGGGGAGGGGGAAGGAGGAGGTGGGGTGGGCACTTCCAGAGAAACAAAGTGCCACTGTATTCTTGCTGTATATCCTTGCTGTGTTAAGGTAAAATAAACCTCCTTTTGTTAACTTTTCAATGAGTTTTGAGTGCCTCACTTCAAACCAACATCAAACATAAGCTAAGGAAGTGCTGGCATTAGATTTGTCTCCAACACCAGGGTAGACTGCAGTGTGACTATCACCTCTGTTCTTAGAGTCTGTTTCCCTCTTAATGCAACCCAAGATCTCATTAGCTTTTTTGGGATGCCACATCATACTATTCACTCATGTTGAGGTTGCCATCCACTAAAACCCCTAGATATTTTCCATAACAACTGCTATCTA